TAATCTCTGAATCTGAACTAGTTAGTAATCTGATATCAGAGACAATACTCTGTTGATAGAAGTAATCTGATTACTGAAGCTGCCAGAGCGTTGGCTGGTCTGACTCTGAGCTGATGTTCTGTGCTGTAGCGGTACAGGAGGTGATGAAGTGTGTTTTCTAAACGTTCCTGGTTCTTCTCCTTCAGGTGGCCATCAACGAGGCCTACGGCGCCGGGCTGATCGGGAAGAACTCGTGCGGTTCTGGTTATGACTTCGATGTGTTTGTGATGCGCGGCGCCGGAGCGTACATCTGCGGCGAGGAGACGGCCCTCATCGAGTCTCTGGAGGGCAAACAGGGGAAGCCCCGACTGAAGCCGCCGTTCCCCGCAGACATCGGTGAGCTGGACCTCCTCCGTCCTGCTGCAGAACCGGGTCATGTGCTGATCACAGTCATTAACGTCTCTCTCTGCCTGAAGGGGTGTTCGGCTGCCCGACGACGGTGTCCAACGTGGAGACGGTTGCCGTGGCGCCCGCCATCTGTCGCCGAGGCGGCGCCTGGTTCGCCGGCTTCGGCCGGGAGAGGAACTCTGGGACCAAGCTGTTCAACATCTCGGGTCACGTGAACGCCCCGTGCACGGTGGAGGAGGAGATGTCGGTGCCGCTGAGGGAGCTCATCGAGAGGCATGCAGGTGAGTGTTCTCAGGTGTCCACGGTGCATTATGGGATGTCCACGTGACCCACCGCGGTGCTGCCGTCTGATTGGTGCAGGAGGAGTGAGGGGCGGCTGGGACAACCTGCTGGGCGTGATCCCGGGCGGGTCCTCCACCCCCATCATCCCTCGGCACGTCTGCGATGACGTCCTGATGGACTTCGACGACCTGGTCCGGGCAGAGACGGCGCTGGGAACCGCAGCCGTCATCGTCCTGGATAAGTCGGTAAGAAGCTGATGGAGGAGGAACGTCAGGTCTGAGAGGGAAAGTCCACTCACTGGAACGCTGATGTCCAAGTTACCAGAGGACAAGTGAAGGCAGCGCTGATGAGCTTCAGTTTGTTGCTTCCAGCTGTTCTGGAGTCTCTCCTCTGAGTTTATTAAAGACCTGCAGCAGGATCCAGAGAGCTGCTCTGACTTCATCAGTTATTCATTTTCCTCCACGGGTTGGATCAGGATCTAAAGATGAATCTCTGTCGACTCTTGTTCACCTCAGACAGTTTATCAGCAGCAAGTAAATCACTTCAATAGAAGAATCCTGAACTCCGTCACAGCTGGAGGTGATTTACTGTAAAAGTCTGATTGAAATATTTAAAATGACTTAAAAGTTGTTCAGAATTAGTGAAAGATTGTCTCAGATGAGTGATATTTATTCCAAATGACTCGAAACTATTTAAAATGTGTCCAGAAGGACCCGTTTTCCCCAAAATAACTCAAACCTGTCTGATATTACTGGATTTTTTTGCAGAATGACCTAAAACACATCGAGGACTAGTTGAACATTTGTCCAGAATTCCTGAACTTTTCCTCCAAAATGACTCAAACTCACTCAAAATTAGTACAAGTTGTCCAAAATGACCCAAAAATGTCAAAAATGACTCACAACTTCCTAAAATGACTCAAAATTTGTCCAAAATAATTTTAACAAATCATCCAAAACATCAAATCTAAACTTCAGATTAAATTAAAATCAGTCTAAAGTCACATAAACGTTTCCAAAATGACTTTTTGCCCAACGTGAGTAAAAATTGTCCAAAATGACAGAAAAACTTTCCAAAACTTGGTAAAAATGAGCATCGGCAGCTCCATCACAGCTGGATGTTAGTTTTCTGTCAAAGTCTGATTGGTTTGATGAAGTTAAAACAGTTTTCTTTATGAGGAGATGTTTAGTTTCACAGAATGTGAAGTCTCTCATCAGAAACGTGTCAAATTACAGCAACAGGTGACGATAAAAACACGTTGAACTGGACGTAGTTTAATAAGTTATCATCAGAAACGGACAGAATTTTTAATATTGAACTAAATCATAATTATTTCCCCTTTAAATCCTCTGCAGACTCGTCCTCACATGACTGAGCAGCTGCTGGTCTGTGCACATCACAGTGAACTAACAACCAGAGCTGATCAGAGCTTCATCTCTAAACTCTCGTAGTGACGTCACAGCGTTTCCAACAACACTCGATCGCTGACGTCCGCTCACAGCTTTTGGCTTTTTGTGCCACTTTAATGGACCGCTCCTGTACAAAAGCTGCCTGCTGTGTTTTCTCTGCAGACCGACGTGATCCGAGCCATCGCGCGACTGGTGGAGTTCTACAAGCACGAGAGCTGTGGCCAGTGCACCCCCTGCAGGGAGGGTGAGGAACTGCACCCGCACACTTCAATCAGGCGGTGGGACGTCTTAGAAAAGCTCATTCTGGGATGTTTGTCTTCATTTGATGAGCTGCAGTAGATCGTCTGATACTGAGGTCTGGAGTTTTAGAATAATTAATTGTGGTCATATTTTTAATTCTCAGACCCACTGGACTGGAGACGGGTTTCCTTTTGTATTCACTGGATTTCTGCACTTTGTGGGAAATTACTAGCAGCTTAAGTCTTGTTTAGTCCATCAGATTAAATATATGTCAGGGCATGAACAGCATCCCTACAGGTCCTGTGTTTGGTTCTGTTGCGCTGCTGCCATCAAGCTGTTCTACAGGTAGAACTAAGAACCTGTACTTTCCATCATCGGACTCCACGCTGTAGGCATCTGATCCTGGTCTGGAGGAGACCGGACGTGTAGCTGATGTCATTTCTTTAGGAATCATCACTGCATCAGTTCATTAAGACACCAGCAGCACAGTATAACGAATCAGTTATTGGGCTCAGCTGGCCTATAATCAGGCATTATTGGATCTATTTGTTCAATATGACAGGTTCTGGATCAGTGACAGGACGAGAGACAGCAGAGAACATCTCAGGGTTTTATCTTTGATAGATGTTGTTGTTCAGACAGACTCTAATCTCAATGTGAGAAAACATTTTTTCTCAAAAACATAACTTATATCAATCTAAACTGTCTGAATTATGTTTATAAATATTCATATTTTTATGTCTCCGGCTTCCTCCCACAGTCCACAAACATGCTGAGGTTAATTGGTGATTGTAAATTGTCCGTAGGTGTGAATATGAGTGTGCTTGGTTGTCTGTCTCTAAGTGTAGCCCTGTGATAGACTGGTTACCTGTCCAGGTGAACCTGCCTTCACCCTGAGTCAGCTGGGATAGGCTCCGCCCCCCATAGTGAGGATGAAGGTGTAGAGATGATGGATGTTTGATGCTGTGAACATTTCCCAGGACTCAGAGCTGGTTGAGCAGAAGCTGTTCTGTCACTGTGGTGCTTTAACTGGTCTCCACCTCTCCAGGAGTGGACTGGATGGACAAGATGATGTGGAGGTTCGTGAAAGGCGATGCAGCAGCTTCGGAGATCGACATGATCTGGGAGCTCAGCAAGCAGATCGAAGGCCACACCATCTGCGCTCTGGGCGACGGCGCTGCCTGGCCGGTGCAGGTGACGCTAACTCACACTAACTCACACTGACTCACACTGACTCCACGTGACACAGAGGCCACGAGGCCACGAGGCGGGCTTTAACAGGCGCCCGCTTTTCTTTCATTTTGCTGTGTTCAGGGTCTGATCCGACACTTCCGGCCCGTCATGGAGAGCCGCATCGCCGAGCACAACAAGAAGAACCCTCCGAGAGAGCCGGAGATCGAGATGGTCTGAAACCACGAAGGAGGATTATGACCTAGTTCATCATCATGTAGTAGAGACGTAGAAGTGTCTAGTGTGACATCACCTCTGTATCACCTGCGTAGTCGATGAGGTCTCTAAGCTCACAGACGGACACACGAGCTCAAACACAGCAATAAATTAAGTTTATTTCATAAAACCATGAAATGAAGTCAGTAGGATTTGTTTCTACACCAACGTCTGATATGATCTGTACAAAAGGAAACAGCAGGTTAGGAAAAGGTGACGCCACCGACCGACAGAAAGAAAGTAAAGAACGAAGGAGAAGCTGGATCAAAGGAAACCTGGTCAGTGGTTCAACATGGCCGTCCGGTTTCTGTATGACGGCGCCAACACGTCAGTCCAACGTGAAACCGGAGGATTTAGCAGCCGAAGCATCAGTCCTGCAAACGCTGCTCACGGCATCAAAGCAAATCCAAACGGGACTCGAGCTCACAGAACTGCTCCTTGGGTCGAGTTTTAAGACTTTAGAGGCGGGACGGCGGTGGATCACGCTGCCGTTTGATTGGTCGCTTTACAGACAGGTGGAGCAGCTGCTCAGTAGAAGAACCAAGAACTAGCACCAAACAAATCCAACAGGATGATCAGTGCTGGTTTGAATATTTACTTTTAGGTATTTATCCCATTGGTCAGTCCTCGTCTGAATTCAAAAAGCTTTAAAAAACAAAACCAACACCTGGACTGACTGACTAATATTTTCTTTTCTAGAGACGCCCCGATCCAATCACACGCTGTCCTCAGACGCTGTAGATCAGCTGTGGTACCTGATTGTTCCACCACTCTGATCCTCTTGCTGTAACGCTGTTTGTGTTTCTAGCTCGTTAAAGGTCACCATGACGACCACTACGTGATGCCTAACGACGTCTGAGTGTTTTCAATCAAGCTGAGAGAACATTCCTCCATCCCAGCTGGTACGTAGCTAGAAACAGCACACAACAAACGTCCAGTGTCGGCTCAGAATGATCAAACATCAACTCACGAGGAACATCTATGACAGCAGATGTAAATAAAGGCCCGAGCTGGTCTTCAGCTACACTTGAACATTTGTGGAGTGACTGACGGACCGATTAGGCTCAGGAGTCTTGGTGCTGCTTTACCAGCTCAACTCCCACAATGCTCTCTGCTTGGTTTGATAAACGTCTGGATGCCACAAAGGGTCACAGAGGTCTTTGTCATGGCGCCCCTTTAACAGCAAAATCACCCACAATGCTCTCTCTCTGTGATACTGTAAGAGGCTCCACCTGGTGGCACAATCAGGTACTACAGCTGATCCACAGTACTAGAAGGGTGTGTTATCTCGGATGACTTGATTGCACTTTATTCTCTAAAGCGACCAATCAGCTGCCTCCAAAGTCTCAAAACTCAACTCAACAAGCGTTCATCTCGTGCACTGGATCTGTGCGGGACGTTTTTCTGTGAGCTTGCTCAAATGCTCGACTTGTTTTTCATGTGTTCTGACCCAACGCTGCGGTTCCTCTTCAGACTATGATACGTGCACAGAAGAAACAAACAGGATCTTTACAAAACATCAGTGCGTCCATTTGAACCCAAAAAAAAATTGCTGAAACCAGCACAAAGCTGTTTCGATTCATCCGCGGTCAGCGGCGGGAGAACGCCGGCTCAGTTTGGGCGGACGTCCCGTAAGACTTGTCACAAAGCACTGAGGGAGTTTCGGTTGTTCCTGCTTCAAGGCGCCATCCAGAAGGGCATGGACTGCTGCTGAGGCTGGGTTTTGGCACGAGGGGGCGGCGGCGGAGGGCAGCGGTAGCCCTGCGTCCAGCCCGGGGAGGCGGATGTGGGGGGAACGGCCCCAGGGTTACCTGGCCCTGAGGCTTTGGAGCTGGGGTGGTCTTCCTCTTCATCAGAGGAGTCTCCAGCGTACGCAACCAAACCGGTTTTCTGTCTTTTCACCGCAGGCTCTGGAAGACGAAGAAGAAGAAGAAGAAGGGGGCGGGGCGAGACAAAGACAGGAGAGACAACAGGACGACAGCAGCATGTTCCAAATATTATTACAAACACATGTTGGGAGAGACAAAGAGTTAATAGATTTAAATTCATGTCAGCAGAGTGGAGGTGCCATTCGGAGGCAGCCATTGGTTGGCGGGGAGCGACAGTGTTAGGGGCCGTCCAATCAGGCGGCAGGACGGCAGGACGAGTCGTGCGTCGCCCCAGAGACACATGGAAGAGAAGAAAAACACAGAGAAAAAGAGAAAAACACAAAAACAGGAGAGATTCTCGTTAGTGAGGAGAGACAGCGACCTGCAGGCCGAAGGCTCCGATACTAAGGACTGAACAATGAAACACAGCTGCAGGGTTCTAGTGTCAGCAGCAGAACCCTGGAGGAACCGTGAGAGGCTTAAAGGCCAGGATAAGGCGGAGACACCAGGTTCTGACTGGGCCTTAATGTGAGCCAGCCTGGTGCTCTGGGAGGGTTTAACTCTCTCTACGTTCACTGAGAACAAATAGAGGCCAAGCAGCTCATAAAGGGTCCACAGTGGTGACGTGTGGATGTGGATTTGTCAGTCCAGGGAGAATGTTCTTACCCAGGGGGCATTGCGGCGGCAGCGGCCTGCGCTCCTCCATGGTGGGCCTGACGACGTTCACGGGCAGCGCTGGCGGAGGCATTAGCTGCCTGCTGCAGAGCACAGAGACACAGAGGGTGAGCTGTTTACGACCCGTTTCATCTGAACAGAACTCCTACAACAAGCAGCGATGTGGACCAACGGTGACCCACTTTACCTAAATCACATATTAAACTTTAAGCTGCATGAACAAACCCCAAACGTTCTCCCTCATCAACGGGGAAATAGTTCATCGATCACTGAGACGAACAAACAGCTGCTCTGATCACGATGTGCACGGTCACTAAACAGCTCCAGGTTGTTAAAGGTGGGCGCAGATGGTAAAGATTAATGTGTGTTCACGTGATGTTCGGCTTTATTTTAAGTTCAGGTCCCTTCCTTTAGATTCTGAGTTAACTAACCGAGGACGGCGTGCCCGGCCTCACCAGGTACGCAAACCGACGCCGGTGCAGAGAAGGTCGGCTGTTGGGAGGCTTCTGTGTTCAGGGCAATGCGAGATCATAATTTGTCTTTTTTTTGACTCATCTTGGACACGTTTTCATCTCCTTAGAAAGATGGAGTCACTCTGGAAGATAAGATGAGCCTTCCTTAATCCCACATGGAGGACATCTGCAGCGCTACGGCAGCAAAGATAAGTTCTAAAAATAACATTATGGCGGCTCAGCGGTTGTCCTCTGGTCAAAGGCTGGTGGTTCGATCCCCTCCACAGTTGAAGACACTGAACCTGAAGTTGCGAGCAGCTTGCATGGTGCTCTGCTGGTGGATGAATGTTCGTGAACAGGTGAATGAGAAACACTGTACAGCACCACCAAGGCAGGAGAGAGATAAAGACCTTTTACCATTATCGCACGTATCAGTGGTATTGATGAAGAGAAATACTGACAGTCTGATTATTGCACATGTAGGAGCCGTATGCATGGCGTGTGTGGTTCTGGTTCTGGTACTGGTTGGTGGGCGTGTCACTTTTGGTTTTGAGCATTAGGGGTGCGCTCACCTGGGCACAGGGTTGGCATTCAGAAGCCTGGAGGCAGGGTGACAACATGGCGACCAGTTTTGTTGTTTCTTTACGCGCTTTCATTTGTAGTTTCTAATCATGTATTTGCAGTTTCACGTGTTTAGTAACCGTCAGTTTGTTAGTTTGTTGGTTCTACGGCACTGCATGGGCAGAAACGAGATTGGAACAAAGCAAAACAAACAGAGCAGCGTGAAGCGTCGAGCCGCGGTGGCTTTGTGAGGTTAATCTGGGAAACTGACACGTAGCCGCAATAGAGCAACAGATTGTACGTAAACAGAAAAACTAGCATACAATCCAGTGTGTGTAGAGATGTGGACGGTGCACGGGGTTTATAAAGTGGTAAATATTCCTATGACTCCAGATGAGCTGCGAGGAAACTTGCTGCTCGTCTGGTTCTGAGTCATGAGCTCTGGACCACAAGTGAGAACAGGAAAGGAGATCAACCGGTGCAACCAGAGCTTTCATCGCTGCTGCACGTCACCAAGTAGGCGTCAATTAAATCCGTCTGCAACTAATCGCATCATCCATTTTAATTTCTTTTAACGTATTAGTCATTGCAGCCTGAACACTGGAGCTCCAGGTCGGGCCGGGTTTCTTTATTCAACGTGCATCGAGGTAGAAACGTTCCTTTGTCCTCCTTCTACATCCACCTGCGTCTTTTCATTAAAATGATCCCGTGGAGCTCGTTAAACAGGCTCAAGTGGTTAAACTCTAATTAAACCATTTTCTGGCAGCATTTAGTACAAATCTCATGTTAAAGATTATTGGTAGTTATCATAGATTATTGATAATTATCATAGATTATCGGTAATTATTATAGATTATTGGAAATTATTATAGATTATTGGTAATCAATGCTTTAACCTGAAGGAAAACATTTAACGTGATGAACGTTCCCGCTGTGTCAGGTTTAAACCTACATAAAGCGTACCTGTCCCTCTCACTCGGCAGGCCAGAGGAACTCGGTGGTGGGGGTCCTGCAGTCTCGGGGCTGCCCACTGTGAAGCCTGCACCTAAATTAGTCATATGAATGGGTCCATGCTATGAGCAGAAAAACACACAGGCACGATTAGCAGACATCCTCCACTAAGCCCTGTCCTGACACTCTAACATAGAACTACACACCTAGAGTGGGACCGTCTGGCTCACCACAGCTCTGTGTTTACACTGACATCGTCCACGTCCACTATGACGGACGCTAACAGCTAATCAGGTATCATATCGCTCTCTGAACTCCACATTACCGGTAGAAAGCTTTGGCTGGCTATCTCAACCAAAGCACAAGAAACATTTGAAGAAAAGAGGAATGAAGTATTAGTGAGTAAACCAGACAGTGGAGCAGCTTAAAGGCTTCCACGTGATTGGCTGATGGACATGATTGGCTCAGGTAACGGCACAGACGACGAAACAAAGACTGAAGAGTAAGAAGCAGCAGAGACGAGGGCTCGTGTTCCTCACCTGGTATCCCAGCAGCCCACTGTCCCTCTCGTCCGGTACCTCCTCGGTGAAGCGTCGCTTCTGCGGCGGGTTGGTCGGGGCGGCGGGAGGCGGAGCTTTGGGTGGCACCGCAGCAGACGGAGGAAAACGTACGGGAGGAAGAGTCTGGAGGAAGAAACAACGATGACATACGGTGTGTACATCACTTTCACAACTCATCCTCAAGATATGCAGCAGGAAAATGAAAGAAGTCACGATTTACAGTTTATTGTGTTTGATTTAATCCAAATAACTGCAGCTTAAAGGCGTCTTTATGCAGTTCAACGCTCACGTCTGTCTGCAACACAAAGTCCTGCAGCTCTGTGGAGACGACCATGAAGGACAGACTTATAATAATATCTATAATTACTTTATGTGCTGAACGACACACATCAGGAAAAAGCTGAATTATTTATTTATGTTTAAAGTCAGTCCATGATTATTTATTTTTGCCATGTGACTGTTGGTCAGCGCTGAGTCCCTGATGTGTTCCTGGTTGTGCCGAGGCATTTACAAGTTTTAGGTTTTTACAGAATCCGTTTAAAGCAAATGGTTCATTTTTGGCAGATTTTTTCCAAATGTGTTTCCAAAACTGAATAAACAAAAAAAATAACCAGACATAATAATATATATAACATTAGTAATATATGTTGTTACTTTTTTCTATATTAATTAAAAATTTAATCAAAACTTAATTTACAATATTGATTATTAATCATTACTCCTCAGCACAGAACATTCTGTTTCTGTAATAAGTGAGAAACCCACCTGTGGCAGAGCGTCCGGAGCCGGAACAGGAGCAGGAACCGGGGCCGGAGCCGGGGCAGAAACAGGAACTGGGGCAGGGACCGGGGTAGGAACCGGTCCGGGGGCAGGAGCCGGGCGGAGAGGGTACTGAGAGGGAACCCCCGCCGCCGCCACCTGAGGGATCGGAGGCGGGACGGAGTAAGGCAGCGGCACCGGCTGGGGCTGAGGTGGAGGCACCGCCATGGGGTAGCCCGGCTGGAAGCCCGCAGGGGGGTAATAAGGAGGCTGGGGGGGCAACCCGTTCACCACCGGAGGCTGAGCGAAGCCTGGGGGGGGCAGAACGGAGCAGGTTAGTCTGGACTTCAGGTGTCAAGAGGGGATCGGAGAGTCCTGGGACTGTTGGTGGAGACAACATCCACGAGCTGTGAGCTGTTCTGGACGTTTACTGACTCGTCTTCAGCACGTTGCTGAACAAGGATCTAAACACATTTTGAGTCATTTTGAAAAACCTTTGCATGATTTCAGATATTTTTTGACTAATTTCTGTCAATTTAGGTTTTTTTTTATTTCCCCCATTTTGCACAACTCAGTTTATTTTATTCAGCATCTTCAGGGTTTTGTGAGTTCTACTGGACACCTTTTACTTTTTGCTTGTGTCACATTTCTCCTCACCGTGGGCTCGTTCTTTACTGCAACATGAAGTTATCCTGATTTTTTGAGTTACTTGGGCCATTTTTTAACTACTTTTAGACAACTTTACTGTATTTGGAATCGCTCTGGACACGTAGTTCTGTATTCTGTGGATGAATTGGAGTCGATCTGGATGAGTTGTGAGATATGTGATGGTGCTGAACACAGTTCACAGCAGGGTTTCCAGGTTAAGTGTTGCAGGAGCACTGAGCAGAGCATCACTGCACAAGGAGACTCAATGAACGAGGTGGCAGCCATTAAATCAGCTATCTGTTGATATTTATAGGTACCATTAACCCTCATATGCTAAAATTAAAATGATTACCTGTAAATAGGAAATTAAAAATGATCAATAATTATGGATATCGACTGAAGTGAAGCATTAATGGAGCCAAATTTACATCAGCTTTGTTTTTAACTTGCACAGTCTCTGTACTCTTTAACCCTCTTTCTGAGTGTCTGATTGCAGTTCGCTGAGGAAAAGCAGCGTCGCCAGATCAAGTGAGAAATCTAACCCACAGGAAGACGAGCGGCTGTCGTACCTTGTTGCGTTGGCATCATCGTGCTCATCTGATTAAGGAAGCGAGAGTATTCTGCGTGGACCTAGAAACAGAGAAACGCTGCGTGAAAGGTTTGTTCCTGCTTCAAGAAACAAAAATCATTTTGTAGTGAATCCCTCTGAGACATCAGGTGAAGGCAGAATGACTTGATGCTCCCTTTGAGCTTTCTGCTGCGTTTGTGGCACACAGTCAGTCTGCAGAAAGCTCCTGTGGTCTGAGTCTGAGGTGCAGAATATCGAGAATACTTACAACACACCGGTTGCAAAACTGTAGGTACTTGTGTAAGAACTGTCTGAGTGACACATCTGCTGAGGCTGTGATCCCGCTAACACCACAGAGAAGTGCAGGATGTTTCGTTTAACGCTTTGTTTGCTGCACTTTGGTGGCGAGAGTGAGAAGATGAAGCACCAGCTGATTGATTCCATTCATACGGGTGTTTCCAGGAGCTTCTCACGGCTTTTATTTTACACCTCAAAGGTTGTAAAACACAACAACAGGTGTACTTCACATATGAGACCTACTGATTTGTGTCTGTGTTTTTCTCACTCCACAGTGTTTTACTGACCGTCTGCAGCAGATTCTCACACAGGGTTTTAGCCGCTGCCAGTCCCTCTGGTTTCGGATGACTGGAAAGAGAAGACAGCAGCGTTTAGTTCTTGTGAGTCCACGCCGAGGCTGAATTCATGTCGTCTAGCTCCCGGGACACACCGACCTGATGTAGATGTACATGGGTTCGAAGGCCTCCCGTCCCGACGCCGGCTCCAAACAGCCCGATCCTTTCCCCCGGAGGAAGACTTTGGCTCCGGTCTCGGCCTGGATGTGCTGCAGGTACGAACATCCGGGACCCTCGACCCGCTCTTTGACCACAAAGCCCGGGATCGCGTGCTCCAGACCCACAAAGACTTTGTCCTGAACGTAATGCATCTGAAACATGAGGGACAAATAAACCCTAGGCCGCAACGTAAACACACCACCTCTCATTTGCTTGAACTTTTTAAAATCACACATTATGGAGATTTAAATTCATATCTGAGACATTTTAGCTTTAAATACTTAGGGAAAAAAAAGTTAAAAAACTACCAGTCGACCCATCAGCAGGTTTATTCTCTCATTAAATCTGAGTCGCTCTGAACAACAACATCTGAGGAACTATTGAAGATAAAACCTGGAATGTTCTGGTAGTTCTCATCCTGTCACTGATCCAGAACCTGTAGATCAATAATCTGATTGTTGGGGAGTTGAAAAATTAAAAAAAAAAAAAAAAAGAAAAGTTTAGTGTCATTTTAGATAACTGAGTCCCTCTGGACAGATTTTGAGTCATTTGTTCTAGAAAGTCAGCATCATTTTGGAGACACTTTGAGTAATCGTGAAAAGCAGCAAGTCACTAGAAAAGCAGAACAATAACTGTGCAGCTGTTTGCATCTGCAAGTTCGTCCAAGCAGCGCTAAGGCTGCCGTTAAAGTCATTCCATGTCAAATCGTCAGGTGCAGGACTTTATCTTGCTGTGAAAAAAATAAGCCGGTGATGGAAAACAAACGAGGCGGTAGGAAAAAGACAACACCCTGAAACTCCTCTGGGTTCAGAGTGTGAACACAACAGGTGCTCGTAAATAAGCACCGACCTGCAGGAGCACCTCAGCTGACTCAGAACGCGTCTTACCCCCGACTGAAAGTGCGGTTTGTGGTGCGTCATGGGCGGCAGCGAGGGAGGAGGCGGGTTGTGCTGATGGTAAACTGTGACTGAAGCCCCGCTGGGGGTGAAAGAGGAAGCAGACGATGAAGCAGTAGCAGCTTTCACCACGCCGTTGGTGATGATCTCCTTGATTCTGTTCACAGCTCCTGGAGGAGGAGGAGGAGGAGGAGGAGGAGGAGGAGGGAGAGAAACCGTCAGTCGAGCTGCGAGCTGCGTGAAAACACACGAATGAGTGAAGCGTGAAAACGTAGCACTGACTGTCGACGAGCTCTCTCGTCTGTCCCTGGACGTGCAGGTAAAGAGGTCGATCCCTGCATGGAAAGAGCACAAACAAGGCTGTTAGAGGAAAAATACTGCATTCACTAGAGCTGCACAGTAAATAGGTTCAGCACTGAAACTGCAGTATGTGCTCGATATAGAAGGACATCTTGCTCTGACTCATCTACACAAGACCTGCCTGATTCTTACTGATTTAGAGGTTCTTGGAGTTTTCCTACATGTGCACAGCAACATGAGAGAAGAAGAAAAAACCCCACATAAAATCAATTTGGTGCAGACGTCGACCAAAGTCAGGAAGTCTGTCAGCAGTGATTTGTTTTAGAAAACCAGCATGAAGCTCTAAATGACGAGTTCAAAGTCAGATCTGAATGCTGAAACTGCTTTAGATGGCTCTGCCAAAGCTGCACCGTATAAGAAGGTTCAGAAGAGCCTGTTCGGGCGCCCCTATAGCTCCCCTAGCTGAGCGGCGACCCATAAACAGGCTGTAGCTCCCCGATGCAGTGGTCGTGGGTTCGACTCCCGCTCACGACCCTTTGCTCCTGTCTGCATCTACTGCTATAATATAAAGGCAAAAGCCCCCCTATATATATATATAAACCCAGCCTTTTCTGCTTTTCTTGAATCACTTTTCATTTTTGATGAAATCTCCTCCAAAATCCCCCCAAACACTGGAGAACGATTCCCTCTGTCCATATCAAGTTATTCAACACGTGATGAAAATGACTGTATTGTAATCCGCTGTTTTGCAGAGAAACTAAATACGACGATATCCAACATCATGCAGTTCCTGAAAGTGAGAGTCACCCTGGCAGAGCTTTCCCCTTCTCCTCCGCCGTCATGTAGCGTCCTCGGGTCGACACCGCAGCGCCGCTCACTTTACTGATCTGCAGGTACAAACGCATCAGAGAATAAACCGCCAGTCGATTTGATCGTGTGTTAAACGCTCCTCTGTGCTGCTGCTCACCTCGTCCTGTGTTTGTCCGCGGGTCAGTAGGTTCCGACACGTGATCGGGACGTCGTTGATCTCCACTTCAGCCACCACCAGGTCGTCTTTGGCCTTCGTCGGCACCGGAGGCTTCCCAACACCCACGACCTGACGGAGCAACAAGGACGTGAAGCTAAGTGCAGCTGGAGACTTCAGGAACATTTATTAGATCACGGTTGAAGTCTGAAAAGAATCTCATTCAGGCAGCAACTTTAACAACTGTCCTCGATGTGAACGTCTGCTCTGAATGAAGCCCAGAACAGAACTTAATGCAAAGCAAACATTCATTCAGCAAATATTTAACATCAGAGCAGAGAGATGGAACAAGCTGATCATCAGTACGCCTCATGAGCAGGAATGTACTTCTCCTGTCACTTCAACACAATATTGGTTTCTCTTAAATAAACAGCAGCTCAGCCTGACAGACAGCAGACAGTGATCACATCATTTCATGTCATTACACAAATGTTTTTGTACTAAGACGAGCCTTTATTAATCCCACAGCAGGGCGAAAGGGTGATGTGCAAATGTGTCGGAAACATCAGTAGAAAAACAGAAAACAGACCAAAACACTACTGACATCAGACAGATTCAACTATATGTGAACATTCAGATGTTGCAGATTCCTCCTGATGTGGAAAATAATGTTTATATGTTGAGACAAAGGCCTGCAGGTGGCGCAGTGGTTAGCACCGTCGCCTCGCAGCTAGAAGGTCGCCGGTTCACGTCCCGGTGAGGACACCCGGGATCTTCTCTCCCACAGTCCAGAAACATGTTGAGGTTAATTGGTGATTCTAAATTGTGTATTGTGAATCTAAGTGTAGCCCCGTGATAGACTGGCTACCTGTCCAGGTGAACCTGCCTTCACCCTGAGTCAGCTGGGATAGGCTCCGCCCCCCACCACCCTGACGAGGATGAAGGCGTAGAGATGATGGATGTTGAGACAATGATCCTTCCATGATGTACGAAATACTGATACTGCACAGATTCTTCAGTAAGTAGAAAACAGTGATTCTGCACAGATTCTGAATGATATTTTTTTCATCCATCATCTCTACACCTAAGTGAGATCACACTAGGGTGAGAATCCACGCAGAAAGATCCCGGGTGTCCTCACCAGGACGCCAACCGACGACCTTCTAGCAGTGAGGTGACGGTGCTAACCACTGAGACACCTGCAGCCCCTTTTTTTATAATGTAAAACATATTTCATAAGATTGATGCAACAGATCCATCAAACACGTGTTTCACATGCAGCAGTCGCGTTGATTGATCCTCCTGGATACTAAACCTCTGCAGATCTAAAATTAATCCTGTATTTATACCCACACGGCGTAGATATCATATACTTCTCTATGCAGAACTGATTGAGTTTTAAAACAATCTTCGTTAACAGGCTAAACTGGGCGTTGAACTGGGTCGGATCCCACCGGAGCCGAGCCTCCCGTATCGACGCTCAGCTCATTCTCCTCGTGCACCAACACGGGTCCTAAAACTATGTTTGAACAAACCGAATGCTGCCTCGTGTTGTATGGCTGAGCTGTGCAGTAACTTCATTAATCACTTACATCTTCTGAAACGTCACTGTGATCGTGAGTCGACTCGTTAAACAGCAAACAGATAAACAGAGAAATCAATGGAAGAAATCAGTCCCGTTCAGCTTGAATCCAATCCAACGTTTTTATTTTCAGTAAAATGTAGTTTCCACTAAATATTTTCTTCTGGAGTTTAAAGTTTTGTTCCCTGAATGCAGTAATCTTTACAGTAGTGGAATAATGCAGGAAAACAAGCGACAGACGGAAGAGCTGATAATAAAAACTCAGTTTATCAGTTACTGCAGATATACTTTAGTTGAGTCTGTGCTTCCTGGATGATCAGTTAGATGCAAATATTCATCAAAACATTACAACAGAGACTTCACTGACCGAGACTTTAGAAAGTGGTCTTCCCTGGTGTGTTTGCATTTTGTATTATTGTTCTTTGGAACTTTTTTCCTTCAAATTCATTTAAAATATTCCTTAAAGTTACAGCAAATACGTAAAGGAAAAAGGAGAATGTTATCTGCAAGATTAGAGAGATTTCATTTGACGCGTCTAACAGACAAAACAAAGGAGGCAAATGGAATTTAGTTTAAGATTTAAAAAATCTATATTTACAGAATTAACCTGCAGCATCTCCTTCCAGAAACTTTTTTTAAAAAATCATCAGTCCTGATAATCCAAAGAACACACTATGATCAGAAACGTGTAGATATAGACTTCCTTGAGGGACTCATAGATCCTCAAGTCCAGGAATTAAATCAGGAGACATGAATGCTGATGAGAGCTGATCAGCTGCTGCTGTGTTGACGGACACATGACACACGAAAGATGTTTTCCTTCAGTTTAAGTTTTGTATTAATGTTCCTATTGATAGTTTTAACATAATGCAAAACTAAAACATGAACTTCTGTAAAGAAATGCATTGAAAAATATTCCAAAAATAATCCTCCCTTTGCTTCCTGTCATTCAAAACCAAGCAGCAAGCTTGTGTTGAAGTGTTCTTCATGCAAACTGTGACGCAGACAAACCTCTCTGCACCAGGCTCCCCTCCTCATCATCCCCTATCCGCCCCCCTGGACCACACATGCCGCTCGTTACCTTGTCAGGGGGTCCAGGGATGCCGATCTGTGACGGTTTCAGTTTGCCTTTGGCCACCAGCATCGCGTTGATCTTGGCAGCCACCGCAGCCGCAGCGTCCAGAGCTCCGGAGGGCGCAGCTTCAGCCTCCCCCATCCCAGCAGAGCCAGGGCCGGGGCCGGGCTGGTCCCATTTGCTGCGACGGCTGGAAGGACGGACAACAGGACGGTATCGTGAACACAGGAGAAGACAAGGGGGCTGAACTGAGATCTGGTTTTGATGGAAACTTCACCAAAACACCTGCAGTTGACGAGCTGCAGTAAAACCTACACAGCTACCGTTAGCTGCTACTGATTCCTGTTTGTTGTGATCATTCGTGCACGTTTAGACAGACTGTAAACCCGCTTTTGTTCTCTAAAAACATCCAGTATTGACATGGAACAACAGAGCAGCTAGCAGGAGCCTTTAGCCACCAGCAGCAGCCTGACAACACCTCCATGATTATATAAGGAGGCTAGCATCAGCTAGCTAGCCGGCTAGCTGAAAGCACCGGGGCTGCGGGCCCGAACGCGGCAGAGAGACGCACAAACACACGCTCACCCGCTGCTCTGGGTTCCGCAAAATGACATCAAACTCAAATTGTCCTCTCGGTGCGAAATTAAAGGTGAAAAATCTCCCTCGAAGCTCCTCCAGTCGGCTGTGGCGGCCGCTAGCTCGCCTCCGCTCCGTAGCTCGCAGTTCTTCTTCTGCTGATGTTTCCGGCAGATGACAGCGGCGGCGGCGGCGCGCTGCTGCCGCCACCGGCCAGACCGTAGCATTACCGCCCCCAGCTGGTGGGAGGTGCATCACAACGTTTCGTGTTGAGACTGATTAAAAACATTAATATCTCAAATTCTAAGATACTGAAATGTGACTTGAGTTTTTTGTAGAATTAATTATTTTGTATTTATAACATCAACTTGTACTTTTTTTTCTTGTACTGTGTTGTCTTCCCCGTAGTCATTAATTTAGCGTTCAATATTACATTTAAAAGTGCAATAATTCATTTTGATGTGCAAAATTTGAAGTTTATGTGAAATATTTAAATTCGTCATGCAATATTTAATTATCTTGTGTTGTATTACATTTTAAGTTGCAGTTTAGGTGCAATTCTCTATGGGAATATTTTGAATATATGTAATATTTAATTTTCACATGCAGTTGTACTTTTTCAGGTGTAATCTTTACATTTATTTTATGTCCTCACTGCTTTGTACCTTTTCTGCTGCCTCTTGGTCATCATTGTGATGAGAACTGGTCCTTAATTGACCTCCCAGGATGAATAAAGGTTAAATAAATGAATAAATAAATGTAATGTGTAATATTTCATCATCTCATCAGGTGAAATGTTTCATTGTCATGCGTCATATTGCTTTCTAACATAGACCCATTGTCAGCATTTTAGCATTTTTTCCGTTATCTGTGTCGTGTGTTTGACTGATATCTTACTGTTTTTCTATGAGACGCTGCATTTATTCTAACGTAATATTCCCTGAGTACCTGACATTAATGAAGCTCTATCTTTTATCTTTAGTCTTGATATTTTCTCTCTCATTTCTCCGACTTTCCTTTGAACTCTGTAGAACCGTCATCTTTCCACCTTTTCTTCATTTCCTGCTTCATGAAGCTCTTTACTTCTGTCCTGCTGCGACAAGCTGCAAAATAAATGTGATTATTTGTTATGACTTCTTTGTATCTGCCATTTAATTTCCTTTAAAGCCAAAATGTGGACCTAAAGAGCTCACTGTGAGACCCATCATGTGGATTCTGTATAAAGTTTTTACTTTAACATCAAACTCAGAAGCGATAAAAGCATCTTCTGGTTGATTAACTGAACTCTCTGATGCGTCTTTGTGGACACGAGCGTGGTAACTACATGGATCAGGATTATTTTTAGAGGTTTCACGTAAAACTCAATGTATCAGAAATAAAAATTTAATTCCAGTTAAAATAACTCAGAATGAACCAGATCTTTCACAGAACATGTTTCAGCAGCGAAGGCCCACCTGCTTATATATGAAGATCAATCCACACCTGGTGAGCTGCAGCCGAACCACCAGACAGACGGTGACCTTCGACGTCCCCGTGACGCTGGACCAGAACCAAACAGCATCACCGAACGCATCGAAGAGCTTGTTTAACTTTTCTAAGTGTCCTTGTAGGAGCGCAGCATTCAAAGTCTAAACCTCAGGATGGATTTAATGCGAATTAAAGAGTCCTGAAGAAAGAGAAAACCCCTCCGCTTGGTCCAGCCCAGTGATGTCACGATGACATCATAACCAGGAAGTTCTGGCCCACTCCCTCCCAAACACGGGTCCAGCAGGTGAGTCGGTTTGACCACATTCATCCTGTAACTTAGTGAAAGGAAGCTAACCAGAGTTAACTTTAACCGTCCTAAACTCCAACAGGACACCGACGCAAACGAACATTTAGTTTTGTTTGTGCACATTCCAACTTTAATCAGAGTTCAATGCTGCTTGTTGCCACCAGGAGGCGCCACTCTGCAGCACGCGGTCAGTCCAGGTGAGCTGCTGCTGCCTCACCTGTCACCTGTCAGCACCGTCCTGCCACCCTGAGCGACTCTGTCCGGCGGCAGCATCACAGTTTCCAGAGCAGAGGAACACCTGGAGGTGCAGGACGGGCTTCAGGGTGGAGGTAGGACCCAGCAGCTTCACCTCTTCTTCTGGTGTCTGCTACAATGTTTTACATGACTGTGTGTGAGCGGTGCGTCGTGTTGGGATTTCTGCAGGTTGTTTTACTGAAAATACCAACAAAAGCAAAACAATTTCTCTGCTCGGTTGCTTTCATGTGTGATCTCCGGCCTCGGCAAGATTTGACATAAATGATGGATGAAATGAACTCAGTGTTTGCTCGTGTAATTAACCCCAGTCAGGCTTTAATTATTCAAAAGAAAAAAAAAGTTTATTAAAGTGCATTCAGGGCTCAGCTGCAGCTACAGTCTGAAACGCACTAAAAGGCAAAATATGACAAAATAAATACACAGAAAAGATAAAAATGAGGTTTTATGTGACGAGTTTTCTGCAGTTTAAACATGAGAACGAGCTGCTGTCCTGTTAACGAACTGCTGTCCTGTTAACGAGCTGCTGTCCTGTTAACGAGCTGCTGTCCTGTTAACGAGCAGCACCTGTGGATTCATTTCCAGAACAGACATCTAAACGTGGGCGTCTGTAGTTGAAGCTGGATGTTTTTTCACTTCAGAAATCAAAAAATACTGTCAGCGGACAGAAATAAATCCGATTTTCTTGATGTTTTTAGGAATAAAATGTTGTGTAAATGAAATATGAACAAATTCTTCCGGTTTGTGTCACAGCTGCTTCATTTTTGTTAGAAAATGTTCTTAACAGGTTGAGTTGAACAGACATCAGTGTGAAGCCGTCTGTTGTGCTCAATAATTCACACTTTAGTTCTTATAATCCGTCACACTATGACTTGATCACATGATTAATATCTCTTCGGTCATCTGGACCCTGATGAGCAGAACCGTCATCGACAGTTTAGTTTGTTCCACTCAGAGGAAGAACAAAAGGATTCAACTCTGATCACAGTTTTCCTGTTTTCAGAATATTTCTGTAGAATTAAAGGTTTAAACCGAACCGGGTCTGTTCAGAACTCGTGACGTCATATTTCACAGTACCAGATACCGATGAAGGCGATGGTTCTGTAGAAACACGGAGAACGTTTGTTGGTTTGTTTTCTGCTGATTTGAAGGAATTCTGGTGAACACAGTGTGGTTCTGGTGGAAGTCTGAACGACTGCAGTAGATCCAGACGTGTTAAACAGGGAACAGAATCTACACAGTGAAGATAGAGTTCTGTTGGAGGTGGACGGGTTCGTGTCCAGTTTAACGTTGAAATCAAACGTTTCTGCAGAACTGACCCGTTTGCAGCGTTGCAGTCTGGATTTCCAGCTTCGTTTGTTTCCTGAGCTTCTGGAAACGCTGCGAGTGATTTCACTAACTCAGTGTGTGAGCAGAACCCAGCTTGGTCCTGAGACCCAGCAGAACCTGATCAGAACCAGTGCCAGCCCAGGCTGTGCTGCTGTACTGGGTTACTGGGGTGTTCTGTTACGGCCCAGCAGGAGGTGCAGGTTACTGTGGAAGGTGAGAACGCTGCGTGAGGCCGACATGGATCAACAGATTCAACAACCTGCAGCCCTGCTTGGATTTCCTTTGTTCTGATCCGCCGGGTGTTGAAACGAATCTGCAGAACTCTGAGTTTGATTAGGATCCAAACATGCGAGAGTTAAAGGCCTCGAGCCGCCTCCCGTCTGTTTCAGCTGTTTCACTCCTTTGAGCCTTTCAAGAGGAAAACAAACGATTGTTTCCGGTGGTCAGTGAGCAGCAAGTTGGACCCAGAAACGTTCAATCGGACCAACGAGGAACCGTTTCCAGTGTTCGTCTGCAGCCTCGTGCATCACATTCATCATGTGAAGCGAAGCAGTCAGTAAATCACAGACTGGTTCAGACCACGAGTCCTGCAGAACCTCTCTGTGCTCATGTTTTAAACAGAGACGATGAAACTGAAGCTCCACTTTGATTTCATTTGAACAATTACGTCTCAAATCAGGAGAATCACAGTCTGATATTTGACCCAAAGTGTTCACACTGAAGGTTCTTCTATTTATGTCTGTTGACAGAGTTTAACGTGACACCGACCATTAAATAGTAAAAATGAACATTTAACAGTTTCTAATTTCTTTTTTTTTAAACAATTTACTTATTTTCCGTGTTTTGGTGAATTACAGATATTCAAAAAAATAAATTGCAGAAAAAGAAAACGTTCGACACGTTTAACCATCAAGGATTTAACCAAAACTGTAAATAATGCCGACACAGAAAAATGTCTGCAAATTAGAATTCATTCTTTTACAAATTCAACAACAAATTATACTTATTTATTTATGTATTTATTTATTTATTGATTGATTTATTTTTATTTTATTTTATTTTGTTTTATTTTGTTTTTTAACAAAAAATGTATTTCCTGTTATTTTCCAGATTTTTTGTCCTTATTTGAAAGAAAAAAAAATATATTAAGAAAATGGCAAAATGGGGAAAAAATTAAAACAGTTAATTTTCAGATTTACCCCAAAATGGGGCAAAAAAGAAAAGAAGAATTAATTTACATGTAGACGTAAAAAAGAACAAAAAACAGGCCAGAAGTATAAATACCATCAAATACAAATGTTCTGATCTTCTCCAGACGTGCAGCAGAAATCACATCATTCACACGTTCTTCTTCCAGTAATCACCAAACGTCTGTCACAATCCTGTCCGTGTGTTTCCTTTGCGGGTCGTCCAGCTCGGTGAGGTGACCCGTCCGCTGCAGCTCTGAGGTTTCCTCCCGTCAGGCCTCGGTGCTGCTGTGGAGGTCGGTTCCTGCAGCCACATGATCCAAACCCACCGCGGCGACAACACGTTGGTTGTGTAACCGGCTGCAGACGTGTTCCTGCAGCAGCATCACGTCTGCAGCAAACAAGGAATCAGTCAAACCCAGGAGAGACTCTGGAGGCTCGGCGGAGCTTAGAACCGGCCTCCAGGTCCTCAGGCGTCGGGTCTGGTCCAGAAAGGTTCAGTTTGCTGAGGAAAGGAACCAGGAAGTGTTCACATTTAACCCTGACACAGTGTTTCAGGTCAGATTGGGTCCGTTCTGGGCGGTGCTACAGCTCACCTGGTGGAGCTG